ATTCCCACATTTCTTTATCTATCTTATTTTGCTCTCTTTCCTATCCTTAGCCGATTAGCCTCGCCATTGGCAAAGTCAGCAAGACGGCTTACAACGACGAAATGAGGGTCACGCGTGTATAATCGATGCCGCGACATGCAACGCCCCCACCACTAATATCGTGCAATGCGACCTCCGCACGCTCGACCTTGACGACTTTGCACGGAGAAACGCGACGAAGTACCGAGATAACACGACTATCGCCGAATACCCTGTTCCAAATCGGAAACGCTCTACCTATCACCCTCGAGAGAATTTTCCCATCTACTTTACTTTTCTCAGCATTTTTCTTTTTACCTTTTATTTTATTCTTTTGCAATTTCTTTTTCTTTTTTTTTCTATTTTTTTCCATTCTCCTTTCAAATTTCATTTTAGCGTACTATTTTCTTTTCCTTTGGATTTTTCCTTTTCTTCTTGTTTTTTTTTCTTTTTTTCTTTTTTTTTATTCAATTATTTATTCTCATCTATTTCCTCTACCTTTTGTTTTCCCTTAATTTTCATTAATGAAGGTCAATCGTGCATTTTTTGTCCTCCTGTTTTTTTTTCTTGTAATTCCAATTTTCGTTAACAAAAGAAGATACTACCTTTCTCCTTTTCCCTCCCTTTCTTCTTACTCTTCGATGTTTTAATAAAAAGGAAAAGAAATTAGAGGTCGCTCGAAGAAAAATTTAAGATTTATGTAAATCAGAGTAAACCAAATAGAGGTTAAGTGTTAAAGGAGATGATACGTTAAAGTCGTTGATCGAATTTTTTCTTATAACGATAGAATCAAAATTTTCTATGATTCATCATCGTTTCTTTTCTTGCAAGGCATTTGATTAATTTGCTTATTGTTTTCATTCTTTTTTCTTCTTTTTTTATAAATAATTATCACGAAATTATTTTTGCAAAGATCATCTTTTTTTTTAATTCGTGACAACGAAACATTTCGATTAGAATTATTACAGTTAATTCTTATTCGTATCTTTGAAAATTATTTCATAGAAATGAAATTCGATCGAGTATATTGTAACGTAAATTATCGAGAGAGATAAGAAAAAAGAAAAAAAAGCAAAATTTTAAGAAGAACTTTAAGAAACTAAAAAATTTTATCTCGATTTAAATAATTCATACGAATTACAGATCTTAGGTTAAGTTTGAATTTAGAGTTTTTCTGAACAAAATGTATCGATTAATTTATGAGTTTAATCGAACTCGTTTACGTTTGACAAATATAACTAACTATCGTTGCGTTTGACGAATGTTTCTAATCAATTCCATTTTATATTCATTTATCGCATCATTGATTAATAATAACGCATTATATAATGCGGATCTATTATCGACACAGAAAATTTATCCGATACAACGTTGGATGATATTCAAATTATACGGAATTAAAAATACTTCGTAACATTTTTTTGAGGTTGAAAAAAAAAAAAAGAATAAAAGAAGCAAAAAGGAATATAAAATGAATTTTACATTCGATATTGAAAATTCTTCGACGTGTGAAAATTTTAATTAGAAATATATAAATTCGATTATATATAGGTTAAGTTTGATTTAAATTGTTTCGATACATATGTCATGATATATTCAAAAGCGAATATGTATAAGTATACATATGCTAGTTGTATACATAGTGTCAATCGATCGATCAGATACATTTAGCCGACAAGCGAGATCGAAATTACAATTAATCCTATTAATTACAGGGGCTTTAGTTAAACCTCTCTCCGTCTCACACACAGATTATTCTCTCTCACTCTCTCTCTCTCTCTCTCTCTCTCTCTCTCTCTCTCTCTCTCTCTCTCTCTCTCTCTCTCATCCTTCCTCAAACGGCCTTAATTAGTATACTATTTCGAGCTCTTTGACAAGTAATAGTCATAGTGTAAACAAAGATTATATTCCAATGTAAAATCAATGTTGACATAATTAATAATATATTATTACAGATAAATCAACTAGAATAAAAAATTGATATATTTAATTATACTTATAGAATTTAAAATGTTGTTGACTTTGATAAAGAAAAAAGAAAGAAAAATATATTGACGATAATGATATGAAAACGAACCTCTATAAATAATAAACAAAAAAACTTCTTCGGAAGTCATTGTACATATATAAATAAAACATTTTTATCGACGGCCACGCTTTATTCTGTTTTATCATATGATCCGGTCGGTAATAATATAATTTCAACTTATTACTAGAAACTTAAGTATATTGACCATAGTAAATTTGAAAGAAACAACTGTCGATAAAATATTTATTTCTATAATATAGAGATTTGTAATTATTAAAATATTTAACATTTTTTTGTACAAAAAGTAACGTTTTAACAAAAAGATATCTTAGCTTGAATCAAGACGCCATCTTATCCGGTATAAGAATAAAAATAAATAAATGGATGACTCGATCGATAAATTAAATAACATGAATTAACATTAACACTCGTAATTGTATTAAATTCAATTGAATCTAATTTCGTATAATTCCGTCTCGTTATTTAATCATTAAAATAACATTTAATCGTATTTCTATTCGCTATTTTTCAAACAATTATCGATTAAACGAAAATTGCATTGATATTATATTAATACAAACGTATACAATATATATATTTGTAATATATATTTTTTGTTATATATAAATATATATATATATATATTTGTAATATATATTTTTTTGTTATATATATACATATACATATATTACAAAAATATATTTTACTTGATATATAAATAATCTGTATCAAAAGTTATTTTCTATATCGCACTAATTATTCTCATGGAATAATTTAGATTGTAATTACCATTAATTACCGCTAAGTGGCGTTTTGATAGCCAATCGTAAACGTCAACGAACGAAAGAGGGAGCAGCAATAGTCGTCGCCTACCATTATTCACTTGCGTTCATTGCACCGCCAGAGGTCGTTACGATGTTCGAAGACACTAAAAAAAGAAAAGGAAAAAAAGAAAAAGAAAAATAGAAAGGGAAAAAGAGAAGTAAAAAGAAAAAAAGGATTAAAAGGAAAAAAAAAATTAAAACAAATGAAGAGAAGGGGTAGAGTAGGAGGAGGACAGAAGATACGTGTATAAGTCGAGCAAAGTGTGTTCCGACACGGCCAGTATTAGGCCGTACGAGCAACGATTCGGTTCGTGGTTGTCGTTGCTCTATTCGCGTTTTTTTCCGCAATTCTTTAATTTTAATCAAACGTGATTATAACAATAATAATAATAATAATAATAAAATTAGTACGAGAGTTTCTCGATCTAACCTTTATTCTCTTTTCGTACGTTTAAACTAGAATATATCAACGAAGTAAAATAATAATAATAATAATAATAATAATAATAATAATAATAATAATAATAATAATAATAATAAAAATAACAAGAACAACAACAATAATAATATTAATATTAATATATACAAAAGCGTTTTATCTTTTTGTTTTCCTTTTTAGTATATCTCGAAACGATTAATAAAAGAAAAGGTGGAATTGTTGAAAAGTAAGAAGGATAGATTGAAGTATAGGTTAGATAAAAAGAGAGTAAGAGAGAGAGAGAGAGAAAGAGAGAGAGAGAGAGAGAGAGAGAGAAAGAGAAGCCGGTAGTAATTGGCGATCTGCGCTAAGAAGAAGAGAGTTATCGATCGACCGATTCGCGCGACCTCGTCGGCATGCAACGTCAGGAGAGAGCGGCTAATCGCCTTTACTCTATGACGGTTTTATGTTGAAAGAGAGAAAAAGAGAGATAGAGAAAGACAGAGCGAGAAAAAGAAAGAAGAGATAAAAGAAGGAAATATAAAGAGATAACGTACGTAGAACTGGAGAAAGGTAGAAAATATAATCTAAGAGTGCAAGAAAGAAATAAATTGGTGTTAAGGAGACAGAAAGAAAGAAAGAAAACAAGCAAGCAAAGAAGATAAAGAAAGAAAGAAAGAGATACAGGTAAACGTGAAAATATAAATAGTACGGGTCAGTCGTAGAAACGAGAGAAAGAGAGAAGAAAAATAAAACAAACGTACTACTTACGACTGAGCTATACGAACGAACGTCATATATGCATGCATACGTATGTACATACATACAAATCAAGTCGAATCAAATCAATTTATGTCAAATCAAATCGAATCAAATCGAATGAAAAATTTATTATTATACTTCTTTTCAATTCCCATTAATATTTATTTTTTTATAATAATATACCTAAACGAACAAAGAGAGTAAATATATGATAATAATAGGTTGTTCATAATTTTAACCAAATTTTGCACGTACGCGCTCTACTACATTATTTTCTCTCTCTTTCTTTCTCTTCTCTGTCTTTTTTCTTCTTTGTTTTCTTCGTCTACTGCTTCTTCTGTTTTCTCTTTTTCTTTTTTTTTTTTCTTTTTTTTTATTTCATAATGGAACCCACGGGAAGAAAATCGTGACAGTCGCGTAGAACGAGTTCGACAAGAGTGAGGAGATCGTATCGTTCTCTCGTTTCTCTCTCTCTCTCTCTCTCTCTCTCTCCATTTCCGTCTCTTTCTCTCCCTCTCTCCTCTTTCTCTCTCTCTCACTCTCTCTCTTTCTCTCTCTCATACGTTAGCTCTATTCTTCTCTTTTTCGTACCGAAGAAGCACGAATGAGTCCGATGGTACTTCGCCAAAATCCGATGGCATCGCGCCATTGACGACCAGCCGTTGTTGCGTCGTCGTCGTCTACTTTGTCGTCGTGTCGTCGTACGTTTTATCGAGCTTTACACCCACGCACGTCGCATGTCATTTCTCCCAATTGTTTTCATTTTTCTTTTATCTCTCTTTCTCTCTCTCTCTCTGTCTCTCTCTCTGTCTCTCTCTCTCTCTCTCTCTCTCTCTCTCTCTCTCTCTCTCTCTCTCTCTCTTTCTCCCTCCCTCTTTTTCTCTCTCTCTCTACACCTTTTTACCTTTAATGTAACTTTATTTGTGTTATGTATATATAATATATATATATATATATAAAATATATAATATATATATGTGCATATACATTTTTATAGAACGTGGATATAAATATATCGTAGATCTATTCAAGTTAAGCAAAAGTGAGGTTAAGTTTTCCCTTTCTTATCTTTTTCGTGCATAATAATTTGTTATATATAACATAACTAACACACACACACATATATATTGTATGTATATATATATACATATGAGTAATAAGTCAGTTTCGTCCTACCACAAAACTCATCTATATCTCTTTTTCTTTTATTCTCCTTCCCTCTCTCTCTCTCTCTCTCTCACCATCTTTCTTTTGTTCTATTTTTTCATTCTCTATCTCTTTCCAACGCTCTTAACTTAATTCCGTTTCTCCTGGTCGAACTCGCGTGTGTATTCACATTGTGTTCTCTTTCGTTGGTGGTGCGTCGTGATATAGGATAATAAGAAGAATTTGAAAGGTAACATAGTGAGACAAAACGAGATGACGGCGATGTTGGTGTCTGTCGCGGAATTGTCGAACATTTTTTCCGTCCTTGCTGTACTAATATGTTTCTGCGGTGTCTTCTTATTTATTATGAGGTATGTATTTATATATATTTTTATCTAATTGTTATTTACGTATTTCTTTTATTTCTTTATCATTTATTTTTAGTTCGTGTACACATACACGCATGCATACACAATTCATCTTTTATTTATGTATATTAAAAATAAAATATAGTGTATAATATATATATATATATATACATATTATACATATATATATACATATACATATACATATACATATACATATACATATATATATATATATATTAATATTAATATCTTTTCTTTCTATTTATCTATTTTTTATCTTTAGACACACACACACACACATATATATATATATATGTAGATATACATACACAAAAATTAAGTTAGTTTAGGAGAAAAGAGAGAAGTTAGAAAGAAAAAGAACGTGGTTTGTTGTATTGCATGGGTGTATTATATGTGACATAATTAGATACAGATCTTTACATTGATAGTATCTTTTATTTACATTTCTTTTTTTCTCATGAATATATCGGAACCCGATATTTTTGAGTTATGCGATTTGAAAAATATTTGTTAAATAAGATATATGTGCCACACACATCCACACAAAGTAATAAATAAGAATACGATATATCAGTCGCGATCGACGAACGATGAATAAATACATCGATCGTTCAATTACAGATATTATAGGATTATATTTTATGATCTTCGATACATCATTTTATTACTATTTTTAAAACTTCAAGTAAACGATCCGTGCACAATTATATTTAAAAAATTTTCGCTTTTTTATTTGTCGTTTCATTTTTTTGTTTGTTTGTTTTGTCGTATCAAATGATCTCGGAAATAAATCCGAGTCTCTTGAAGGTTAACTTTACATTTTTGTCCTTCGTAAATAATGAGAATTATAAACAAAAAAATATAAATAATAAATAAAGAAAAAGAAAGAAAGGAAGGAAGGAACAAAAAAAAATTCTTTGTCTTGTCTTTTTTCTTTTCGGACCTTGCGAAATATTTTGCTTTTATTAAGGAACAAAAATAATATTAATTATTATTATTATTATTTTTATTATATGATTATTATGTAACGCGATGAAGTAATTTGCAAATTATAAACTCGATATTAACACGTTGCAGCAAATGATGGGACTATAGCCGTCCTATTTTTGGCGATATTTAGACAAATAACTGCCTACAGCCGTCTTGTATATGACGACTGACGCTCAACTTCATATGATAGTCAAAAACAATCGAAAAAAAAAACAAAAAAAAAAAAAAAGAAATGTGTTTCTGTGCACGATCGTCAAATTAAAATTATGCGGCAACGTGTTTATCATTGATCCTATCTCACATTTACACACAAGATACACATCCGAAAATCTCCAGTATAATTTGTAGTCGTTTAACATAACGGACATCCTAACCTCAAAATCTTACTTTGTAGTCTTTTGTCGAAATTATCTTCGTCATTCTTTTTTTTTTTTTATCTTCTCGTTCAGTCTTATTCAGATTATTTTGAATAATTTTTATCAAAGAAATTATTAACTCTTATTTTCAACGATATAATGAACAGTTATTAATTAAAATATTCATACATAGTAATGATAAATTCGTTTAGAAATCTTTAAAAGTCATTGGTATTCATCGTAAATATTCATAGAATATAAATAAATGTAAAAATTATCAAATTGGGAATTCCTGAATCCTGATATATAAGTCTACGATTATAATGATTCATGTTATTTTAAAAGAATTCATTAAGGATGATATATTTTTCAGAGGTGTAAGTTCAGAAATTTATATTGCGTATCTCTCTCTCGCCTCCCCCCTCTCTCCTGTCTCTCTCTGTCTCTGTCTGTCTGTCTGTCTCTCTTACTCGCTCACTCACTCACTCTTTCAGTTTCATTGAACAGTGTTTCTCTTATAACGTGAAGTGTAATATTTATTTTCAATAAATTATATAATAAATAAATATAATAAATAAATATAGATATACGTATACTTTAGAATATTATAGTGTGTATATGTGCCCGCGTGCGCGTGCGATCATCAATTATTTTTTTTTACTATTAACAATTGTATTTATATATAATTAACATTATATATAAATATTATATGTAGCAAATATTTTAAAATATCCTTCACGTTTTATTTAGATTAAAAAAAAAAAAAAAAAAAGAAAAAAAAAAAAAAGAAATGAATGAACTAAAATAAAATAAAATAAAACGAGGGCAAAAAAAAAGCAAAGAAAGAAACAGAAAACGAAAGGAATCATTGTGAAAATAAAAAGTTATGTGGAACAAATTTATTAGTTCGAACGAATTCATTAACCATGATTTATTTTCAAGACGTGCATAAAAGAAGAAACGTATATTAGATTCATATCTCTCTCTCTCTCTCTCTCTCTCTCTCTCCCTCTCTCTCTCTCTTTCTCTAATTGATATATGTATTTAATATTACATATATATATCATTTTACTTATATATAGAAATTTTGAAAGGAAATAAGAGAGAAGAACGAACTAAACGAAACATAAGAGATCATTGTAAATTGCGAACAAATCTATGTTAGCTCAGGTCGAATTCATTAACGATGATATGTTTTCGAGATATGTATTAGAGAAAAAAAAACACGCATATATTGCTTATACGTATAATATATTCCTCCTTCTCTTCTCCCTACTCCCTCCCTGTCTCTCTCTCTCTCTCTCTCTCTCTCTCTCTCTCTCTCTTTCTCTTTCTCTCTCTCTCTCTCTCTCTCTCTCTCTCTCTCTCTCTCTCTCTCTCTCTCTCTCTCTCTGTCTCTCTCTCTCTCTCTCTCTCTCTCTCTCTCTCTCTCTCTGTCTCTCTCTCTCTCTCGAACCTATTTATCTATCTAACTATTTCTGTGTCTTCTCCTCTTCTCTTCTACCTCTCTCATCTTCATCAAACATTTATCATATTACTGCCTATGTTACATTTTCTTCGATCGTATATTGCTTGCAGTATATAAGCATCGTGTTCTTCTCTTTATTTTTTTTCATCCATAGTTATCATTGTTGTTATTCTCGTCAGCGTATTTGTCGTCTTCGTCTTCGTCTACGTTCTTCACGATAACAAGAATGTTGAGAATGTCGAAGTTGATAGATAAAAATTAATATCGATATCATTCTTAAGGAAATATTGAAAAAATATGAAATTTTCAAATAATTGAAAATTAAAAGAAAAGAAGAAAATTTCTAAATGGAATCTTATGTTTTTATGTTATTGAATTATTTTTTTAAATATGTTTTGTTCGCTCTCTCTCTCTCTCTCTCTCTCTCTCTCTCTCTCTTTCTCTTTCTCTTTCTCTTTCTCTCTTTCTCTCTTTCCTCTCCTTCTCTCTCTTTCTCTCTTTCTCTCTCTCCTCTTTCTCTCTTTCTCTCTTTTCTCTTTTTTCTCTTTTTCTCTTCCTCTCTGTCTCTTCGACATATTTAAGATTTTCTTGAATGATGAAGTCACTTTCATGAAGTAGATTCACGAGAACGCATCTTGAAAGTAGGTAAGTCGAAAGCGCGTCTTACAGATACATACATATGTATGTATATATATATGTATATATATATATATGTAAAAAAAAATTCATATATATATGTATATATATATATATGTATATTTGTAAATCATAAAACTATGTTTGCTATGTAAAATTTTTAGTCATTAGGCTATAAAGTTTGTTTTTCTTCAATAAAAATGATTATTTCACACGTTCTGAAAAAAAAAACAGGAAATAATAATAATAATATTAATATTATTATTATAAATAATATTAATATTATTATTAATATAATATTAATATTATTAATATTATTATTATTATTATTATTATTATTATTATTATTATTATTATTATTATTATTATTTTCATCATTATCATTATTATTATTATTTCAATGGTATCCTAATCTAAATTGTAATTGAATGAATAATTATGTCGTATTTTTTATTTCATTCAATCGTCTTACACGTATGAAAGAGAAAAATAGATAATATTAATGTTGTGATTATTATCTCGTTTCTTTGATCGTTAAAATTATGGGAGACGACACGTCTAAAAAATAAATGTTCAATACAAATTGATAAGAAATAGATTAGAAACGAACATCAATTCAATTTTAAAAAATGAAAACAATTGTACACGGGTGTAGCACGTAAACCCAATGTACAATTAACTGTTTTCTTCTTTTTCTCTTTTTTCTTTTTTTTTCTCTTTTTTCTTTTTTTTAACGTAAATATAAATACAAATATAAAAGACAAATAGTTTTTTATTTGTTATTAATTAATAAATAATAATAGTAACAAAAATTTTTTGGTAATTCATGAAGTTATAAACTCCGAAGTTATCGGCTAGTTATTTTGGATCTCCCTCTCTCTCTTTCCCTCACACACACACACTCTGTGTTTGTGTGCGCGCGTGCAGATGCTTAGGTGAATGTCTTAAGCTGCTTTTTATGATGAAATTTCTGGGCAAGAATATACACTAGAGAAGATTAATAAACTGTTAATAAACTGAATAACATATTCTTTAAAATATGTATGTCGGAGTTATTTTTCTTTTTTCTTTTTTCTTTTTCTTTTCTTTTCTCTTCTTTTTTTTTTTTTTTTTTTTTTTCTTCTGATGGAACATGATTTTGTTGCTTTCACGAGTGTTAAAAAAAGCAGGTCAAGGTAAATTTCAGCTTCCATAAATTTCTCCTATTGTGATTCATTATGGGGGGAAAAAAAATCGTCTCTCGAATTTCATATTTACTGTTAGCCCATTTATTACTGTTTATTAATAAGATATTCACTTTAATATTTTAATAGCAATGTCGAATGTATGTATACAATTAGTTAATAGACTTCTTAAAAAAACTTTCATTTAATATTTCGAGATTATTCTCGTAAAACGAAAAATAAATATTTGATGAAATTTTTAATTTGACAATATAATGATGTTATTACGAAATACATAAAAAATCATTGTTTTTTTCTTTTTTTTTTTTTTTTTTGTTTTTTTTTTAAATAAATGTCGAAATTAAATTTCTTGTATCGATGATCTTCGAAAAAAATTCTCATATTTACATTTGTAGTAATCGTAAAAAAGAAAAGTGAAGGGTATTTTAAATCCGTCCACGATTTGTCTCATAACTTTTGTACAAACGAAAGAATTTCAAGTTCCATTAAAAAAATCAATAAATAAAAATACAAAAATAATTATCGATATTACTAGCTAAAAATATGTATTTTTGTTATATCAAAATCATTCGAAGAAAACATTTCTCTGAACAAATTTCATTCTATAATAAAAGTTAATTGAGCCATCTATATGTATAGTGCTTAAAAGTTTCAGCTGATTAATCTGTTATATATTGAACGTTATCACGAAAATTAAAAATGCAAAAGTGAATCTATAAGAAGCCATCCAAAGAACGTTTTATCATAAATTTTCTTGAAAAAAAAAAAAGAAAAAAAAAAAGAACAAAAAAGAGAATAAAACTTCAGAATTAAAAAAAAAAAAAAAATATAATCTCGAAAGATATAAAAATTCATGAAACGTTGCATCCCAACAACAAAGACAGCGAGAGAGAGAGAGATAGAGAGAGAGAGAGAGGCAGGCAAACAGATAGACAGATAGACAGACAGGTAGGCAGATAGACGGAGATAAAGAGAGAAGAATATCCTGTTTGAATCTTAGAAGCTCTCTTCTCACTGTATATACTCATGCTTCTACTACTTTCTAAAAAAGTCTCGACGTCATAGAAACGAGAATTACTTTGGGTCATTGGCGTTGCTAAGCGTACATACTTTAGCAGCAGCTTTACGTAACTCCATCGTTGAATGTTCATTCAAAATATTCTCTGGTAGATCAAGGAAAAGGAAATTGAGTGATTGATGATCAAAGAAAAACAATATTGAAGACGTCGTGGATAACGATAAAAGGAAATTAAAATGAATGAAAAAGAAAAAAAAAGGAAACAAAAATAAGATCCATGAAAAAGATATTGATGTTCTATTTTTGGATAAATGATTTTATTTAATTAAATAAGATATAGAGAGAAGAGAAATAGAAAGAGGAATAGAAAAAAGATATATATGTATATAATATAAAGTATATAATAAATTATAATATAAAATATATTATATATTGGGTTGCGAACTAAGTGATTGCCGGATTTCAAATAAGAAGGAAACGATAAAATCCGCAATTACTTAGTTGCCAACCCAATATATATTTTATATATAAACATATGTATATAGAAAAATATTTTAAAGAGATACGCATGTTTGTATATATATATATATATATATATATATATAAACAATTAATTAATTAATAGTATTAATAATATATGTATATAATAAATTATAATATAAAATATATTATATATATATATAAACAATTAATTAATTAATATTATTAATATTATATGTATATAATAATAACGTTATATTGTTTCTATTAACATTTATATATTCATTAACATTTATTATATATATATATATATATATATATATATATAATATATTTTAATAAGAGAGAGAGAGAGATAGAAAGAGAGAGGGGGGAGAGAGAATATATATATTGAGAAAAAGGAAAAAAGAAGAGAGGGGGAGATGAATAATGACACTAATAACGAATATAAAATCTTCGTTCTGTATAATTTCGTAGAAAATTGTATTATTTTTGTGTGTAGTAACGAATAAGAAGCAAAAAAAAAAAAAGAAAAGAAAGAAAGAAAAAGCACGCCTCTTGCATAATGAGAGATTCTTAGCTAACATATTACGGTCACGCCTGCTTCCTTTAGGCGTATCATCTGTCTCTCTCATCATCTTTTCTTCACTCTACTGACTTCTCTATTTTTGTTCCACACGCAATTCTTATTCCTTTCAACGCAATACACGTGAAATCATATTTCATGGGTCGTATCATTTGCGAATAGTATTATTATCTTCACACCTCTTTTGTCTAATATATATATATATATATATATATATATATATTATATATATATGTAGACAGGTACAGGATGACTCATTTAAAATTTTATCTTTGGTAAAGTGAAATCATTCTTTTTATGACGATACCTGTTTTTAGAGAGGGGAAAAAAATAAGTAAAAAAACGCGAAAGATAAAATATATCATCCTTTAAATAGATTCATTTTAGTTTACATAGACGTCATAGTGCAAATTAAAAAACTTTTTTTTTTTTTTTTTTTTCCTTTTTTTTTCTCTCTCTCTCTCTTTTTTTTTTTTTTTTTTTTTTTTTCAATTTAAGCTTTTCATTATTTCGAATATCAAGTTAGAAAATTTACAATTTTTCTTCTTTTTTAATTAAATAAATATAAATAAATTGCATAAATATGTTGTGCTTGTGTGTGTGTGTGTATGTGTACTGTCATGCTTAAACAAATCTTAGTTACATGATATACTCTATATGTAAAAATTTTTATATATATTTATATTATTTATGTGGTTGTGTGTGTGTGTGTGTGTGTGTGTAACATAGTGATTTTTTATTGTAATAGAAATGTTAATGAGAAAAAAAAATAATTTATATCAACTATTAAGATAAATATTAAAATCCCTCTCGAAAATAATAACAAAATTATATTATTAATATATACATATTTGCGTATATATATGCATATATATACTTACAGATTGAAATTTTTTACACATTAACACATACATTTATATAAAATGATATTGTGTAGTGAAATGGTAATTATAAATGGTAGTAGTCATCTTTTTGGTATCAATCTATACGTGCTTCCTGTAGTTTAATTTTCAAAATTTTATGATATATAATGAATTTCATTGATGCGTTATAATTAAAAAAAAAATATTGTTTAATTACGTTATTTCATAAAAATATTTCCTTAAGTGGCTTTATATTACACGCTTAATATATCACATATATGCAAACGTATGATTTTAATAGAAACATTCCATTGATATTAGCATATTAAGAATTATTACTATGTATTTTAAGTATATGTGTATACATTATATGCATAATTGTGTATGCATATCTATATGCATATATGTCTCAACGATAAGAGGAGGAAAAGAAAAGAGAGAAAAAAACTAGTTAGATTATGTTCGACTCACGTATAATATATTAGAAATGACGTGACAATAATAAGAAAATATCAATTAAATCGTTTCTTTGCACGATTAATCGTGCAATCATAATTACGATAAGAAGATTGAAATTTAAAATCAATTGATTTTATTCTAATTCATTCTTATTAATAATCATTCAACTATTTTAGCATTTAACAATATTTTTTTTTAATGATATTTTTCTCTTCCATTACTTATAAAAAAAAAAATTATCTCATAATATAATTTAAACTCTTCATTTTAGCTCGCTCGAATCTTCCTTCAATTTTTGAATCGTCATAATAATAAAATAACTGTCATGATAATTATCTAAATTAATAATAATAACAACAACAACAATAATAATAATAATAATAATAATAGTAATAATAATAATAATAATAATAATAATAATAGTAATAATAATGATAATGATAACGCAAATGACTATGATATTGCGTTACATTCCGAGACAATGATAATACTAGCTAGCTTTTATCGTTGAGAAAAAAAAAAATACAAAATAAAAATGAGATGACAAATGTCGTTTGAAAATAAGTACGATTCGTTGGTGCAGAAACATGATAGTACTACGTGTACACGGGGACGAGCTGATGTTTGGCAGCGGTGGCAGCGTTATGGCACATACACCTCGAATTCCGCAAATGGAAATGATGAAAGTTCACATTCCGTTCACCTTCAAACTTCACGAAAGCTTCAAGAGTACCTATGCCGGTAAGTTATTCTCATTCTTTTCCTTTTTTCTTTTTTCTTTTTTATTTTTTATTATTATTTTTTTTTTTTTTTTTTTTTTTTTTTTTTTAATTTTTTTTTTAAACCTTTGTTTTTTCTTTCTTTCAATATATATATATATATATATATATATATATATATATATATATATATATATTTTTTTTTTTTCAACACAATAATTTTTTTACCTTCGTTCAACCCTGTAACGATCAACGATATATTAATTGTCCAACGAACAACGATTTATTTCATATCTCAACTAATTCGTCTACTTCCATTCTATATTTTTCTTATTTTTCTTATTTTTTTATCTTTTCTTAATTCCTTTTTTTATTTTATTTTATTTTATTTTATTTTATTTTATTTTACTTTATTTTATTCTAAATTTTTTTTGTCTGTCTCAGCGCATTTAATTATTTTAATTAATTAATTGTCTAATTAAGTAATTTTTATCTTTTTTCATCTCTCTCTCTCTCTCTCTCTCTCTCTCTCTCTCTCTCTCTCGCTCTCGCTCTCGCTCTCGCTCTCACTCTCCTTCGTCTCATCTTGAAGTTTTATTCCATCTTTATCTCTATTTTAATTGATTCATACTTTTGTCTTCTTTTTATTCTTTTATCTTCTCTTTGCTTCGTATTCTTTTGTCTTTTGTTTCATTTACATTTTATTCTTTTTTATTTTTTTATTATTTCCTTTTTTTTGTTTTCTTTTTTTTTCATTTCCATCTCCATCCATTTATTCTTATCTGTCGCCTGATTTTTCTTTCGTCTCTTATAGTCGCAGTTTTTTATTTATTTATTTTTTTTTGTTTTCTATCGTCATCTTTTATCTTCATCTTGCGTCAAGCTTCGTTCATTCATTATCCTGAACTTTCATCTATATTTTCGATCATTCTCTTAAAATCCTATTACATCTATTATTTTCATCTCATAATCAAATATCTTTTCATCTATCTTCTTTGTCGACTTTTATCTGATGTTTTTATTTCCTTTTCTTTTCTTTCTTTCTTTCTTTCTTTTTCTTCTTTTACTTTCCATTCACTTTTATCCATGTATTTTCATGATGGAGTCTATCGTGAGATGTACATATTTTTATTTTAACGTTTCCATATCTATTCATTTATTTTCGTCATCATCAACCTTTCATCACATTTCACAAGCGTACTTTTCATCAGATTTCCTTCATCTTTCGTCATTCTATTTTGTATTTTTTTTTCTCTTATGCATGTAAGTTCTCTTTAAGTTATTTCATCCGATTTCACCTTCATGAGAAGCAACCACCAAAATAAGACAGAATGCATTATATTGTGTAATGTTTTTGGATCACGGTATTGTGCCATGATTAAAATTATTAACATTAATGTCTGCTTAGAAAAATAGAAAGAGAGAGAGAAGATTCAAGATTTCTCTTTTTCTTTTTCTCTCTCTTTTTCTCTCTCTTTTCCTAAAACTTTGACAACAATTCATGATTATGTAATGAATCAGCTTCTTAAATATATTGTTATACGTATATATATATATGTATATGTATGTATGTATATATGTATATATGTATATTATTTGGGTAATGGTTATACATCAACTTCGTTCTTGGCAAACTCATTCTATTATTTTAATAGCAACTTATTATTAGCCTCGACTCGTTTTCTTTATTTTTTTTTTTTCTTCTTTTTTCTTTCCTTCTTTTCTTTTTTTATTGTGAAACAACAATCAGAAATCATCAAGTAAAAATACGGAGATAAGTATATATATTATTTTTGTTAGATTATATAATTTTATGAACGTTAAAATTCATTGTGCATTCGAAAATTATAATACGTTAATGTTTAATAATGTTTGAAAATATTTAATACATATAGTAATATGTTACGAATGTAAAAAGTGAAATATGAAAGAAAAGAGGAAAAGTTATAATAATATAATTTTTCTATAATTTAATAACTGATACATATATATACATATATATATATATATATATATATATATATATATTTCTATATATAATAGAATATTCTATATAATATAATCTATATAATATTCTATATAATAGAATATATATATATTCTATTATATATATATATATATATATATATATATATATATATATAATAGAACGTAACATATATATTATGTTCAAGTCATTTATTTTAATTATTCGAAATATATTGCCGAAGGAATTATGCGATAATTATTTGTTTTTTTATAAAGTAGATAGTTAGTTTATTTTATTTTTCCTAATTTTCCTAATTTATTTTATTTATCCTTTCCTAAGGATATTCTAGAAACAACAAATTATAACAATTTTTGCTTTAATATTAATCAAATAGATCATATCATATATTTTTATTTTTTTTTAGAATTTCTAATCAAATAAAGTATAATAATTTCCAGTTTCATGCTTGTTGAATAGCCAATGTAATAACCAGTATTTCGCAAAATTTCTACAGAACCAGAAATCGTGTAATTAAAAAAAAAAAAAAAAACAAGTTTAAAATAAATAATACTATGCGATATATCGTAACAACATATATTCTCCATTAAAATTTTATTAAAAAAAGGAAATGAAATTTTTTGTTAAAAAAAAAAAAAAAAATAATTTTTTCTTTAATATTAATTTTTATTAAGAAATATAACATTTCTTCTCTTTTTCTCGTTACTTCGTGAAGGACAAAGATAAAGAAAAAAAATTATTGAAAATTATATGTAAATGAGTAAACAAAAAAATCCAATAATTGCTTTATTAATTTTGCCATTTGCAATGTTTCAAGGACAAAGAGTATAAAAAAATATTATTACAATGTAACATATGATGTAACACAATGTATACTCCTCCACTTGATTCGTAATTAATATTCATTAAAAAAAAAAGAAAGAAAAATAAAAGTAAAAAGAAAAGAAAAAGATTATTAAACGTTCATTTATGTCAACGATATCATAGTAATACATAACAGCAAATATTATCGTAAAAGTATCAGTAATCGTTTATCCACTGTTTCTTTATTGTTGGATCGTCTTTCGCTTCCGTAAAGTACATTATGTAAAGCCGGAAAGGTATCTAATTAATGTTTCGATCGTTCATACGATTTAATGAAAACACTATGTCACGCGTTTTGTGTTACGTAAATGTCAACGATGTTATTCTCCATTTCCCTTTCTTCCCCACCCTTTCTCTTTTTCTTCATATGAGTATCTTGATTAAAGAAAATGAAAAAAAAAGAAACATTATATCGACGTATTTATTATTTTGCAGAATTTTTTCCCTTTTTTCTTGTTTTCTTTTTTGCTTTTATCCCCTTTTTAATAATGAGAAAGGATAAAAAGGAAAATAAAAAAGAATATTGTGAGATAATAAACAGGACGGTGTAATCTTTTGTTTTCTTTTTTTTTTCTCCCTTTAAATAATTAGAAAAAAAACAAGGAGTAAAGAGGGAAAAACAATATAAAAAAAAACAAAAACAAAAAAAAACTGACAAAATAATAAACACATAATATGTTTTTATTAACGCATATTGTGTTAATGAAAACATATGTGTTTCCTCCCTCCCTGTTAAATAATTAGAAAAAATAAGGAATAACGAGGAAAAAATGATAGAAAGCAAAAAAAAAGAAATTATAAAATAATAAGCACAATGACAAATGTGCCTTTTCTGGTTTCTTTTTTTTCCTCCTGCCTTTTATCATCTTAATTTTCTATTTCCTTATAAATAATTAAAAAGAATGAAGAAAGAAAAAAGACATAGATTTTAATAAGTACGATGACATATGTGATGTTTTTTGTTTTTTTATTTTTTTCTCTTTAAATAATTATAAGACAATTATAAGAAATAACAAGGAAGAAGAAGCAAAAGATAGCGAAAAGAAAGGACATTATGAAATAATAATCACGATAATGTCGTCCTTTTTTGCATGCTTTTTCTTTTCTTCTTTCTTTTTTTTTTTCCTTTAAATAATAAAAAAAAAAAAATAAGGGAAAAGGAGGAAAGAAAATAGGACATTATAAAATAAGCACAATGATGTTATTGGTCTCTTTCGTTTCTCTCTCTCTCTCTCTCTCTCTCTCTCTCTCTCTCTCTCTCTCTCTCTCTCTCTCCCTCTTTCTCCCACTCTCTTTTCTTCTTTCTTTTAAATAATTAGAACAGATAAGGAGGAAGAAGGAAAAAAGAGGAAGCAAAAAAAGGATATTATAAAATAATAAGATGGATGATGTGTGTGTGGTGGGTTGTTTATCTTCCCTGGAAACAAATGATCGAAATTTTTATCAGAATAAATGTGTAAAAGTCATGTAGAGAGAGAGAGAGAGAGAGAGAGAGAGAGAGAGAGAGAGAGAGAGAGAGAGAGAGAGAGAGAGAGATTAATTGATATAATGTAATAGAATTTTTATTCATGACTTTAGCATAATCATCTTGGAAATAAATTTCTATTGGTCATCGAAAAGGATATATCTAAGGATAAAATTTTGTTTAAAAATGAAACAATTATGTTAATATATTCTATCATTGCATTGTATATCTAATGTGTATAAGTTTCAATACTACGTGTCAATTATTTGTTTTTTTCTCCGTTCTTTTATCTTACGTATATATTAGATTTCATAATGGTGTACGTCGAAAAGAGAAAAAAAATTATGATGTAATAATAAGAGGAAAAAGAATAAAACGTTCTCATTTCAATAGTTAGAAAATTTTAATGAACTAGTATCCGTACAGATATTATTTAAACGCTTATTATCGTTAAGAAAAAACGTCCTTCTTTTGTTTATTGTTTTATCGTAAATATTTTCTTATGTCTATTATATTATCATAAACATTTTGTTATATTCATTATATTATCGTATGAATATATAAACATACAATCAAATCGTAAAGTTGCTTGATCAATAAAAAATAGACATAAGTTGAACTGATCGATTTTTTTTTTTTTTTTTTTTTTTTCTATCGAAATAATGTAAGTCATTGTTTTCAAGAAAAAGAAGAATTTTTCGAAATC